CTCGGGAGGCCGGCAGAAATCCCCCGGCTCTCAGCCCAGCCAGCTTTCCTGACTCCTGGCACAGGGACCATCTCCTGGGCAGCACCATGTCCTGATGGTTTTCCAGGAGCTGCCCATCTCGCCGACCACCTCAAGCCAACAGCTCAGAGCAAACCAAGTTCCCAGGTTAAGTCCAAAGTCGTGATCAGCAACTGGATATGAAAAACCTAAAACACCACTACACACACCTCAGCTTTAACCTGTGTGAAACCTGAGCTGGATTTATACATGAAGATCCAAGGGAAGGAAGGGAAAGGGGAAGTTTTAACTTCTTATGCACAGAAAGAGGCTGTTGCTTGTTTGTCTGTGGGCTTTTTTATTCTTTTTTCCTTAATTTAAAATATATATATAATCAACTCAGTCTTTATTTGGAAGATGGTAGGATCAAAGATACATAAGTCAAGTCACAAGTAAGGCCAAAACAAGAAACATGATTCTCAGATGACAACTGCCAAAGTAAACATTGCCACATGAGTTAAAACAAAATCCAAAATGCTTGAAATTCTCACCAAAGAGCTAACAGAGATCTCAAAGCCATCCCTCAGGCTTAACTGCCCACACTTCCAGGTCAACACAAATGAAGAATATATGTATTTATTCTATAAAGCACCCTTTATTTACAGGAACACCAGCAGTGAGAATTTGCTTCAGTAGGGAAGGGGAATTCACAATATTTTGAGATATAAAGAGAAACAAACCAAAAACCACCTTACCTCTCCCAAATGATTCTACCCTTAAGTTCTACTTAAATATTGACAAATTTAATTTCCAAGGGGAAGCCCAAAGCTTAGTCTATTGCACGTAATCACAGATCACTGTAACATCAAGCAACAAAACAACCTAGAACACCACAATGAACCACCACATAAGCAACAAAAGCTCCTTTTAGGATTAAAAAGTTAAATAAAACACTTTCTTCATTCAGTACTGTCCTTAGGTTGTGTACTCACTTTTATACTTTCTCTCCCCTCATGAACACAGAAGGCTTCAATTCTTATTTATTTTTAAAATATCATTACAGCAGATTTTAAGTCCTCTTAAAAAACAAATACACACCAAAATACAGATTTCCTCCAAAGCAGAAGAAAACCACCTGTTGCCCTCAAGTTCGCCAGAGAACACAGCTCCACACGACAAAAAATGACCTTGCAATTTTGGTTATTTACATGGGCATATACTGCTTTAAAGTAATTCTGCCGTAACAATTCCCTTCCCTTGTTGCTGCATCACACCAGCCAGACATCGCCCATGGTCCAAGGCAGCACTGCATGGACAAATCCACACAACGCTAAGCATTTTCTTCTTTCTAGTGTTAGAGGGGTTTAGGGAATGCACATGGTTGTTAGGACTCGCCAAGAATACAACAACCTCGAATACAACACACCCAGCTGGTGTGAAAGAGGTGAATTCTGCTCACACTTCTCGCTCTGAGGTGCCAACATCGCCCCAGATGCTGAGGTGCACGTGTTCACTTGCATGGTGGCAAATACAGTAGAAATCGGTCAATGGCAGGTGATACTCAAGTATTTTGCAACAGTTGAAAGCAGATTGTTTTGTGGATTTTTGTTTTTAAAGAAAAACCAGAAGTGCTTCCACAGCTAGAAGTACCTTGGGGTGGCAGAAGTTTAAGGTCACAAGGGTAGAAGCCCTTGTGAGCCTTATTATCAAGGTTACGGTTTGGGTGATTCAATAACAAGGCTCATCCCACTTGAAAAGGCCAGAGTTTTCCCCATCAGCCTGGAGGGACTGCACTATCATTTGAATTCTATTTCCTGATGATGTGCTCATCATGGTAGAAAAATTCGGCAGGAAGATGAATTTTACTTTCTTCACTGACAGCTCAGCAGAGACTCAGGGGTTTAATTGGACTTATCTACTGATGCATATTTGACTAAGAGCATGCCCAAGAAAAAAAAAATAGCAATATACAGACAGGTCTAGGGCTTGGCTTAGAGGCACATGAAAGCAGATTGCTTGCTCATTATCAGTTCTGCATGGACAAAGTAGTTGGCTTTCCTGTTAGGACAACACCCCGCAAAAAGCCAGGGAACAGCCATGGTCAAGCCAACACAAACCATTTCCCCCTCTGGTACCTGCACACCCAGGGCTGCTCAGGGACCACTGGACTAAATGCCCCTTCTGAGCAGGTCCTGACACGTCAGCAGCCGGCCAAGGCCACCGCTGACACCCCTGTGGGCACACAGGGACCATCTCTGGGACTCTGAGAGGTCAGTTCTACAGGTGAAAAACTCCAGATAACCACGATGCCACCAGAGGCCTGCAGGGCAGGAGGGGTGGGCTGGAGAGCAGCAAAGCCCTCAAACAAAATGGGACCTCAAAGTCTGAGCCAAAGACATTAAAGATCCCAGGGCAAATCTGAGACTATTCATTAGCCTGAGCAGAACTCTTCACTACTGTACCACAGGTTTATAGACACGCAGGTGGCAGAAAATCCAAAGTAGGGAGAGCACCCAAAACTTTGCCCACGTTTTTATCACAGTGTGTCAAGGAAAGTGGGCAAAGGCACCAGCATTGCTCATATTGACTGGGAATTCAAGTTATTACACCCATCAAGCAACTTGTTAGATGCTTCCTCTCGACAACTCACTTCTTCCCCTTCTACACAAACAAAACAAAAATCAAAAGCCAAAGTCATAGTTTGTCAATGCCCCTCTGAAAATATTAAATTTCCTGCTCTGCTTAACTTAGCTCAGACAAGGCAGGCAGTATTTGCTCAGCAAATATTGTTTGTAATAAGTTAGACAAGCAATATTTTTTGCCAGCCTATTAACACCAGAAAAATATGTACAGTCAACAAGAGATGAAGAATTTGTTCAATTACTTCAAAAATGGGAATTACAACCGAGGGATTATTATCCATTTAAACATCTCTTTTCCACAAAATGTCAAACACTAGCCATTTGCTAACAATCTCCGGAGACAGATAAAGTAACATTTTGGCAACGCAAACACAAACTCCCGAGCTGGAGGAGGGGGGAGCGGGAGGAAGGAGGGCGGGAGGTGGGGGGGGAAGCTCCGCCATTCACAACAATGCCGGACCATCCCAACACGCCAGGAATATTTTGCAGCCAATTAAAACCCCAAACAAACATTCGACTTGCCCGAAGTGAAGGCGAAACACCGACCGGGCAGAGGAGGGGGCCGGGGGAGGGAAGGAGCAAAAGGGATGGGGGGGGCACCAAGTTGCCCGCGGAGCCGCGAGCACCCGGGACCCCCCCCCGGGGGGCTCAGCACCACGATTAATGCACCTTAATTGCCATTTGCAAAATTCAGCAGCCGCGCGCTTCCTTTCTCAATTTTATTTTATTTTTTCCCTCCTCTTCTCCTTCCATCAGCCCCCCCCCCCATCCCTCCCTCCCCGCCCCAGCCCCCGCCCCGCGGGGAGGGCAGAGCCCCCCGTGGCCCCCCGCCGCTCTTACCTCCAGCGCTTCCAGGGTGTTGAAGCTGGCGATGGCGAAGCCATCGATCAGATCCTCTTCCTGGGAGCTGGACTCGCGGCGGCGGCGGCGCGGGGGCCGCGCGGCGCGGGCGGTGGGCGGCGGGCCCCGCGGGGCGGTGCAGTTCTGGCCGCCGTTCTCCTTCCCGGGGCTCGGCTCCTTCTCGGAGCCCGACGACGGGCTCTGGTTCCGCGGGTCGCGGGCCGCCGCCTCCCGCCGCCGCACGCGGTCCCGCTGCGACCTCGACCTCCGGCTCTGCCGGATTTTCCCATCCATCGCCGAAGAAGAAGCAAATTAAAAAAAATTTAAAAAATAATAATAATAATAATAATAAAAAAAATTAAAAATTAAAAAAAAAAAGGAGGTGGGGGGAGAAGGCCGGGGGGGGGGGGGGTGGGGGGGTGTAGAGGGGTGGGAGTGGGGGGGCGCGGGGGGGGTAGAGAAAAGTCGCCCCCCCTCCAACTCACCGCTTCCCCTCTCCAAACCCCGGAGCCCTTAAAAAATAATAATAATAATTTAAAAAAAAAATCAACAACAACAACAAAAAAAATCCTGCTGTTCAGAGCCTCGGATCCAGGGCGATGATAATCCACAGAGCAAGGCTGGGTGGCGGTGGCGGTGGGGCGAGCGGCACACACACACAAAAAATATTAAATCCACGGAATGACCTTGACAAATTTCCACCCCCCGCCCCCCCCACCCCCCAAAAAAAGCAGCGACGGGAAGAGGAGGGGGAAAAAAAAAAAAAAAAAAAAAAAGAGAGAAGGGGGGGTAGATCTATCTGGATCAGGACGAGGACACCTCGGATTCACTCGGCGCGGAGGAGAGAGGCAGATCCAGGAGGCTCGACCCAGCTCGGGATAATCCAGGCGCGGCGCCCCCTCCCCGGGGGCAGCGCCGCTCCGGGGCCCCGCTCCGGCCGCCGCGCACCGCCGGGGGGGCCGCCGCCGCCGCCGCGCTCGCCGCCCAACTTTCTTGCCGCGGAGCGAGCGAGACAATCCCTGGGCAGCCCCCGCCGCCCGCCGCCGCCGCCGCCGCCGCCGCCGCCGCCGCCGCCCGCCGACCCCTCCTCGCCGGGCGCCGCCGGCGGCTCGCAGCCCCCCGCCGGCGCGGCGCGGCGCCCCCGCCGCCGCCGCCCGCTGCCGGATGGCGCTCGCCCGCCCGCCCCAGCCCGGCCGCCCGCGGCGCGGCGCAGCCCCGGCCCCCAGAAGCCGCTCAGTCGACGCTGCCCGGATGCCGCCCCATTCTCCCCGAGCTGGGACGCGGCGCTAGCACCGCCCGGCCGGCCGCGCATGAGCAGGGCTGCCAGCTGCGCGTCATTCCCCGGCGCAGGCCCGGCCGTGCCCCCGGCCCCCCCTCCTTCCCCCTCCTTCTTTTCCTCCTTCCCCTCCTCCTCCTTCCCCTCCTCCTCCTTCCCGCCCCGCCGCCGCCTCGCCTCCTCTCAGCCCGGGCCGGGGGCGCCGCCGCCCGCCATCGCCCTCGGGAAAAGTTTCTCCCGGCCCCGGGACCCCCCTGCCCCGCTCTCGGCCGGCGGGGCCGGGTGAGCCCCGGGGGATGGAGCGGGGGCACCGCCGGCTGCCCCGCGGGGCGGGAGAGGGGCTGGCCGGGGGCGAGGGGCGAGCGGTGGGACCAGGGACCAGGGATGGGCTGGGATTGAAACGCTGAGCCGAGGGGCGAGGAGTGAGCTGAGGGACAGGCTGGGGGTCAGAGGGTGACCCAAGGACAGGGAACGAGCTGCGGGATGAGGGTTAAACGATGAACTGAGGTATCAGGGGTGGGCAGAGGGACGAGTTGGGGGTTCAGGGAGAGATAAGAAGAGCTGAGGGATGTAGCAAAAGCTAGGGACGAGCCGGGGAGCAATCTATGGGTCAGGGGCCAAGTTAGGGGACAGTCAGGGGATGAGCTGGTGATGAGAGTGCAGAGCAGGGGGGCTGAGCAGCCAGAGCTATAGGTGGGACATGGAGCAGTGTAAGGCGACCAAGGGTTAAGACTCATGGAGGTGGAGGCAGGAGACCCTGTTCAGTACCTCCTGCTCACCATCCATCCATCTCACTGAGGTTTCATTTGGGCTCCGCAATGCAGGAAGGGACTGTAGTTTCCTTCTTGTTTCCCTGCATTTTCAGGCTCTTTCCTCTGTCCAGGGTCACCTCGACCAATACTTGGTTCCTGGGCACTCACCTGGGACAGGGGCCAGCTTGGTGGCCAGCCAAGTAGCTGTGCAGTGCCCAGTCCCAGGGACAGCACCGAGGAAGGTGTGCCAGGATCAGGGCCCCAGCACCAAGCACTGACCATCCTATGTATCACAATGGTAGCAGGACTTAATCCTCCTGTTATCATCTTTTATTGCACACAGTCAGATATTGCAGCATGTTACCATCACTTCTGGGTTCTCCCTTCCTTGTGTGGGGCTGGCTTTGCTCCACTGGACTAACTTGGCTTAATTTCTTATGTCTTCAGCTGCTCTCTCTCTACCCTGGGGAGTAGCCTCCAGTTCTGGATGTGAGAGACATTAGAAGGATGTTGTGAAATAAAACCTAAAGAAGTCCACCGAGATTCATCAATAAAGGAAGGAATCCATGGAGGAGCTTCAGTGTTACTGGGAGCCGTGGAAGTGAGGGAAGCCAAAAAGTCTCCTGCCACCTGCTCCCACTTGTGTTGCAGTTCAGTCCACCAGGGATGGTGGCTTCCTCGGGCTGGTGCCTCCAGCAGTGGCAGGCTGGAGTGGTGTCTAACACACCCGTCAAAGGCTTTGGCGTGGGCACTTCAGTGTCCACCTTTCCTCTGTTTTTCCGTGTTCCTGATCTAATCGCACCAACAGAGCAGTCAAAAATTAACCTCCTTCCACCTGGCCCAAACAGGCTCTTTTAGAAGAGTTTCTGGTGTCTGGCATCAGCTTTGCCCTACCTTACATAGACAAGTGCTAAAATAAATATCATCCTCTTAAAATGTAGCACAGAAACGTCATTTAAATTTAAGCCATTTAAAACCAAAGGTAGAAATCCCATGTGTGGTGCAAAGCCTCTTAATGCAAATAGTCAGTCATGCATTGCATGCCTCAATCACACTCGTATCGGTGTCATTTGTGTCCTAATAAAATCCTATAATCTTTTGCGTGCCAATTAAAGAAGGAAGATAGCTAAGTCTAGCTGCTTCCTCGGGTAATTACAGGCTAGCAGGGAGTCAGGCAGTTATCTGCCCTGGGTTTGCTGGACTGGGGATTACCAAAGGGTATTTTCTCTCCCGTTTCTCTAAGGGACAGTACAATGTTTTTTTTTAACTGCATGGTGTTTTAAAGGCATAACCAGGATCCAGGCAATGGTTGTTAATGAAAGATCTAGAGTTTAGATACACCCAGTTAAACAATGGATTGAGCTTAACAATTGTATTTGCTTTACCAATATTTTAAGAGTCACTTTTTAGAAAGAAGCATTTATATTGAGTTCAGTAAGTTATTTTTACATTTGAGCCTGTCCTTTAATTTAAAAGGTAATTTCTCTGTTTCTTATAAGTAAATCACAAGGGTAAATCATTAAAAAACTGTGGCATTTTTAACAATTTCTCTTGGTAGTGCTCGTCTCGGTCCCATTGTGCTTTAGGCCCTCCATCATTAATATGCATTTCTAGTTCTCTTTTTTTCATTCACTTCCAAATTTGCTGACCAACAAGGACAGTGGAAATTGCCTGTAAAGTGCCTTTCTTTATTTCCCATCAGCAGGGTCATCAAGATTCTCATCCCGCTTAGGTGTTTACGTACAGGAGTTTAATGTCACTGTGAACATAAACCAAAGGTGCCTTCTGGGGAAAGTTGTGAATACTATTATTTTTTTGAATCAACTCCACAAATTCATCAGCGCTGTGATTGTCCATAGCTATCCTCATTTTTGTATATATGTATATTTCATTTCAAGATTCGGCAGAAGGGTCATCCAAAGGAATTAACAAAATCAAGCAGTCCACGTGGGAAAGGATGCCTCTGCTTGGAACAGCATCTCGGAATCAATCATGCCTTTCCTTCCACCGAGGCAATTTCACGTTTTCAATAGAAGGCAGACCTGCAGTGGGTTTTTTTCCCCCCCCAGCATCAAATGGCATTCCACACAATGATATTCATCATGTTATAACTCTAGGTGAATGATAATGGATCAGAGGGAATGAAAACAGATGGATGTTAAAACAGACAATTCCCCGCCACAAACCTGGGAGCCCTCCTCTGCTGCCTAGTCCATTCATTCAGTGGATAATTGTATTAGACATTCCAACAATAGAGAGGCCTTCTTCATTAATCCTGAATTTACTGAAAAGAAGCTTTGCAGACTATAGCTCTTTTGGTGCTTAGACAACACCGGGCAAAATTTACCACAGGCTTAAATGTCTAAAACTCAGCTAGATAGGAACTAGCACAGAAAATTCCAAAAGCAGGAGGGGTGGGTGGGTGAGGGCAGGGCACAGGACAGCCCAGCAGCAGCGCTGCAGGTGGGCAGGAGACACTCGAGTGCCTTTGCTGCAGCTCAGGTGATTCCAGGGAAGTGTATCGGAAAGCTCTCCTCTCGCTGGAGTGCAGGCGCAGCTGAACTTATCAATATTGTGCCTGGGTTTGATCTGATTGTCCCTTTCCAGCCTCCAGCTCACCACATGAGCCAGTGAATGCCAATCCCTGCCATGTGATGGGGCACAACCGTTCCCTAACCCTGGTGTGCATCAGGTGACCGGGGCTAAGCAATACAGATCAAGTCTCTTACCAGCTGTCCTGTGAGTCAGCCCCTTGATTACAATATTGACATTAACATTTTAATCACATGCATGCTGCTGCAGATTTTAATGACCGAGTTGCTGTGCCTTTGCTTTTTGAGGATCAGAAATTAGACCCTTGTTCGTAGCTGGAGCAAGAGCAGCATCAGAGCAGCAGCTTCCGTAGCAGTAAACATGGCACTGCTCTTGCCACGAGCCTGCCCCTGGACATTAACCTTGCTGGCACTGAACACCTCACTGGAATGGGGACTTTGTTCTCCTTTACTGTGTTCCTGTGTTTGGGGCAGGACTGGAAGTTGTGAAAAGAGGAGAAAGGCGGTGCTTTCGTGTTCTCCGCAGCCTGAGGCGATGTGAAAATCTAACCAATCCCTGCAGAACTGTCATTTTCGATTCCCAGGTACTTTAATCAGGGCAGAGTAAGCCAGGGACATTTCCTTCATCCTGCACCTTTCTGTACCTTTTCTGCCCTGTGCCATCAGAGGCAGGCGAAAACTTCAGTGCAAATGAGAATCAGCCCCCAAATTTGCATTGTTCCTCTCACCCCAAACGTACTCCACAATCTGTTGCAAATGCTGCAAGCTGAGTCTGCAAGGCTTTGCTCTGTTAAAGACTGTCATGTCCAAGGTGGAAGGACAAGCAAAAGGTCGGAATAAATAAACCGAATACAGAATTGCTTAAGGCAATAAAAAGAGACCACAGGCTTTCATTGCAGCTCGGACATGCACCAGAACACACTTTAGGACATTAAATAAACTGGTTTGTGTGTCACTGAGCTTAGTTGTTTTCTGTTGTTTCTACCCCTGCTACCCCAATACTTTGCTAAAATGATCAGGCCTTAAATGCTTGGTATCCCTTCCACAAACATGGGCTGCCTTTATCACTTGCTTCATCGTGGTCATTTGCACTGAAAATACATAATCACTGTCAGAGTACAAAGAATCATTACGAATAATTAGTTACTTCCAATATGGCAAGTCAGTCTCATAAATCTTGAATATTTGGCTTTGGTTTTGGAAAGAGATTCCTTAATGGCTACACTTGTGAGACTCTGTTAATTGATATAAAATTGTATTCAAAATTAAATTTGTTTTAACAGATCTAAATCACCCCAATAAATCAGCTTCAGCCTATCGGCTCTAAGGGTTCAAGTACACTTTTTTTTTCTTTTGCCTTTGGGAGAAAGGGTGCGTTTGCAATCGATGCACGGAGGGCTGGATCTGCCCCTCCCCTCGTTGACTAACTGCTTCCACATGGGCTGATTTTGCTGGTCTGAGAAGTCATAAGGGAGGGGGCAGAGGGCACAACCTCCCTCCCCAGCCCAGCAGTGGAGCTCTGGGGCTCTCAGCCCTCCTGCCTGCATCCCAACTCAGCTCACAGCCTCAGCTGTGGTGCAGCCAGGGAGTAAGAAAGGAACTGCCTGTCTGTGTTCCGAGTGGGCAAAGGAGAGGTTATTTTAATGAGAAAGAGAAGGAGTTCAAGTCCATCTGTAATAGTCAGATATTGAGGGTTTATGTTATTATGGGTAATAGCAGTGTGAATGGTAGTTCTTATGATGCTTTTTTTTTTTTCTTCAGAGAAACCGTCTTTTTCATCTGATATCACAGGTGAGAGAAGGTGACAGTAACAATAGCTTAATTTTACTTGACTGTGTATACTCTATTTAGCTCCTGAAATTGTTTCAGGACAGGATGTTATTATCTTTATCCTTATTTTAAACTGTAGAAATGGAGCCGCAGAGACAAAAGCCCAGTATTCCTCTCCCATAATGTCTTCAGTAGGCTGTCTTCCTCACCTAGGCAGTGGTGAGCCCAAATGCTTCCTGAGATTCTGTGTGGTAAAAATCTGTTGGAAGAATTCCCCGTTTTCATCCTGTCTGCTGCTACTGTCTGTTATCTTAAATCTCTCTCTGATTCTTTTTTTTTTCTCCCCCAGAGATTCTTTCTTGCCTACTTCATCTCAGTAAAACTCTCCCCGCCCTTCTCCTGCCTGGGTTGTTGCCTGTATTTTTGCCTGTCTGATCTCCCTCAGGTTCTAGCTGTCGAACTTGTTCCACGTGGGCAGGCTCTGACTCCTGCCTGCAGCCCTGGGAAGTGGGATGCTCCCTGCCCGCGATTTGCATGGCGTGGGGTGGATTTTGGGAGGCTCGGAGCCTCGCAGGGTTTGTACTGCCTCCTGCTTCCGACGGGTAAAGCCTGAAAACTGCCTACCTGTCGTCGGGCCCTGCAGCATAATGATCTCTGGCTGCTGCTGTGTCTTGCTTGACTAGGTGTGCTTAAATCCTGTTGGACTCAGTGATTCTTTTACTTGCTTTTAGAACGTTGCTGGTGCATAGCCTCCATCTCCAGTGCTCAGGGTGTCGTGTGGTGCAGGGTGTTTAGGGGTGAATAAAAGTGAAAATCTTCTCAATCAGCTTTATTAGGTGCAACTGTTACAAATGTTGGAAATTTTCCTTGGATAGCAGTTGCTTCTGTTTCCAAGTGTCTTGTAGGCTGTGCTCAATTTACTATTAAATCTGTTAAAGTAATACAGTTCATTTTAATCCCTCAGTGTATATTATCAATCAGCTAATACTTCAAAGAAGAAATATAATTGAAAAAAAAAAACCTATGCAAACAACAAAATCCTCGCCTACCCACTCTGGGAAACCTGAAGATTAGGACTGTAAATATATTTTCTGTTCTAAGTTTGGAAAGTGAGGGAAAAGCTAGTGAAAACTAACTCAGAGAAGATATATTTGGCAGTCTACAACTTGCAGAGCTCTCCTAATAAAGGCTGGCGGGGTGTGCAAATGGAATTTAATACATGGTCATGATAAACAGGTGCTAAAACATTTCTGCAGTGTTTCTTCCATTAATATTTTGTCTCTTTAAAGCAACCATCAGGAAGATGTGTCATCTTAATTACAGTATCTGGAAGCAAGGACTGTACTAGTAGCTGTGTAACTTGCTAATAAAAGCTTGCCTGCAGTGGGGATTTTTGCTCTCTCTGTACCAGCAGCAGGCTGAGCACTAACATAGGCTGGCAAAATCACAGTGATGCATAATTTACACTGGGTCAAGTTACCCTTCGTGGCAAGTAGATGAGCTGGACAAGTGTTAAACAGGGCTTCACCCTCACTGCTGTCTGTGCTTACAATGGGAAATTTATTCTCAGAATGGACAAGGCTTAACAAATTACTGCATGATTGTGTCTTAGTGTCTC